CCGAAGAAGGAGTATTCGTTCGCGACGAGAGGAACTGCAATGGTATTAAATTCATGGATCGTTGATTCCGGCGCAACGTCGCACATGTGTGTGGATCGGGTAATTTTTGTTGAGCTGAATGAGAGTCATAAGCAGGATGTGATTTTGGCCGATGGTACTGCGACAAAGGCGGAAGGCATCGGTCTCCGGAGGGTGAGCCATCAATAGTAAGGTGGTGCTGGTACCGAATTTAAAATCGAGCTTGGTTTCCGTGAAGAAGCTGACGGCAAACGGAGCTACGGTCATTTTCGACGTCAACGGATGTCGAATCTTGAAGGACAAGAAGGTGATTGCGGCAGCAACGATTTCTGGGGGACTGTACTCCCTGAAGGAAGCGCTGGCCGTGAAGCACCATTCGTCAAACTGTCAGCACACTTGGCAGCGTGTGTTGAGGCATCGTGACCATGAAGCCGTCCGTGAGCTGGTGACCAAGGATATGGCAACTGGAGTCGAGATGGAAGAGTGCGGCTGCCGAGTCGTCTGTGAATGCTGTCTTGAGGGCAAGCTGACACGTCTTCCGTTCCCCAAGAAGTCGAAGCCAAAGTCCAAGCAACCATTGGACCTTATTTACACCGATGTGTGTGGACCCATGCGAACCGTGACACCCGGTGGGTGTCGTTATTTTCTCACCATGATTGACGACTTCACCCGGTTTACCGTCGTATATTTCCTGAAGCAGAAGTCCGAGGTTTCCCAGCGTATTCAAGAGTACGTCAAGTTCGCCCAGACGGAATTTGGAAAATCCCCGGAGATCATCCGTTCCGACCAGGGAGGTGAATTTTGGAGTGACGTGTTGGATGCGTTCTGCCGAGCGCAGCGGATACGTCAGCAATTTACCAACGCCTACACTCCGCAGCAGAACGGGGTTGCGGAGCGGAAGAACCGCTCACTGGTGGAAATGGCGCGCTGCATGCTACTGGACTCCCGAATGCCGTTGAAATACTGGGCGGAAGCGGTTAACACTGCGAACTATCTACAAAACCGTTTGCCGACGAAGCCGTTGAAGAAAACGCCGTACGATCTGTGGTATGGCACGAAGCCAGACATCAGCCACCTCCAGATGTTCGGTTCACCGGCGTACGTGTGGATCCCTGGAGAGAAGAGAAGCAAATTAGAATCCTCCCAATACAAGGCGTACCGATTCATGGACCCAAACAACGGCAAGCTGACCGTCAGTCGGGACTGCAGGGTCCTGCCATTGGACGAGTGTCGAACTTCAGAAGGGAAGTATCGTTGATTATCCATTTAAACTCCTAGAGCAACCGAAAGCTAAGGTCCCCGTTATAAGATGCGCCTGAAAATTGGTCTAGGGATGGTCCATTAATTATGTCACGCGAATTTGGCCCATTTTCAACCCCCCCTCCCCCCTTTGTCACATTTTTTGTATGAACCTTAATTTTTTTGTATGACTCGTCACAGTTTTCAAACCACCCCCCTCCCCCCTAAATGTGTGACATAATTAATGGACGACCCCCTACAGCCCGCCGAGCTGGAGGAGGAGTGAAGGAGATCGAAGCAACTCGGTGAAATTATAATAATCCTAGTATGCTATAAATGTAAGTACTGCATCAATAAAGTATAGTTTAGTCTCATGTTTCAACCTAACCGGTCGTATTAACTCCCTCCTCTAAGAAAATCATGGTCTACAGAACCTTCATAAGCCGGCACCGGTGGTGTAGTGGTAAGCGTGACTGCTTTCTCACACCCCAATGGGTCTGGGTTCAATCCCAGCCGAGGTCGGTGGGATTTTTCTGAGGCATAAAAATCTCTGGTCACGTCTTCCTTCGGAAGGGAAGTAAAGCCGTTGGTCCCGGCCCATGTATGTTGAATGGGTGCGATATCCTACGCAGGTGTGGAAGCTGGATGGCAATCGATGTCCGTCGGTGATTGGCACTAGATTGCGGAACAGAGACCGACGTTAAATAAAGGAATGAGAACCTTCATTAAACCCAAATTGTTACTTGGGAAGGCACATAATAAGACTATCAATTCTCACGCAACACGAGAAAAGGGCCTATCATTGTTTATCGATTCTCTTCATCGATTTTCTCTGTCGCGAATAGCCCGACTGCAAATGAATTTCACATTCATTGTGTTGATTCAGGCGCAAGCTAACATCATCTTCTGTCGAACTGTGCTGCGAGCTTAGCGAGAAATTTGTTTATGTTGCCGTGGTAAACCAAAGGGGAAGTCTATGAAGAGAATCGATCAACGAGGATAGGCCCTTTTATCGTGTTGCGTGTGAATTTATCTGCATGAATTCTGATACATGATTGGTTTTGACCATTTACTCCGAGGACGCCCAAAACAATACTGGAATTGTCTGCAGATGCGCTGGTCGTTCAATATAATCTCAAATGATTCTTTAAAGCTCATGAGATTTTATCCATCCCATAATGGGTGTTGCTTCTAGTCTGGTTATGGTCACTTCTATTTATTTATTTATTTATTTCGTCAACCAACGTAGACTAGTACATATTAGAATACAGTTTTGTTTTCTTAAATTTATTTATTTATTTCGTCAACTTTGGACAAAAGGTTAAAAGTATAATTTTTTCTTTAATAAAATTAAGCAGTGTCAGCTTTTCTATTTTTTATGAGTTATAATGCCTTATGGAGTAAAAATATTGTTTTAGTTTATGCCGAAACATTGTAAAGTCAATAGTTTCACAGTATTGATTGTAAGAGGCCATCATGCGGTTTAATGGCCCATATTTTGCATAATTTGTGCGATGATGTTTTATGGCAAATAAATTTCGATTTTGGAGTTGCCGAGTAGGTGCATGGAAATTTAATTTTGATAAAAGTTCTGTGGAGTCAATGCGTTGCGAAACGATATCGTTTACAAATGAAACCATTGCATATTCACGACGCTCTTTTAATGTTTGTATGTTTATAAGCATGCAGCGTTCTTCATATGATGGAAGAGGAAATGATGTCCAACCTAATTTACGAAGAGCGTATAATAGAAATTGTTTTTGTACGGATTCTAATCTTTCTTCGTGCGTGATTGAAAAAGGAGACCATACAATGCTGCAATATTCCAGTATTGACCTCACATAGGCGATATATAGTGTTTTAATTGTGTATGGGTCCTGAAAGTTATAATATATAAAGCCTAGCATGTTATTTGCTCTGTGAATAATTGTGTTGTAATGGTCTATGAAAGTTAGTTTAGAGTCTAAGATAATTCCTAAATCCCTAACTCTCTCACATTTTTCTACATTTTGATTTCCTAGTGCAATTGAAATATTTGAAGTTGTTCTTTTCCTGCTAAATGATATTAAGTTACATTTTTTTATATTCAATTCTACACGCAAACCAAAAATCTATTACAATGAATGTTAGTTCCAGTTCCTATCATCCTCTGTTCATGAACATCGCAACGAATGTTAGGAATTGACCATGAAGGCGATGTAATGGTTTTTTGTCTTTTTTATTTCGTGTTCCATCTACGCTTTCGACTATACAAGTAAGCTTGAAGAATGACGCACATTGTAGAACATTGTAGAACGACGCACACACTTGTCTCGAATCTCTCCAGCAGAAAAAGCATACGAAGTCGAGCATGCGAGAAAATGAGCGCTTCATGTTTGCTTTTAGGCTATCCATATTCAGAAGCACGGAGAGAGCAGTGGAGAAAGCACATGTCTGATAGTCGCAACGTCCGTGGTTCGAATCCAGTCGGCAACCTTTTTTCTATTTTTTTCGACATAATTAATTTCAATCACTAATACACTCCACATTTTTCGGTCTCCAATTTTCTTACATCGGACCGCAGCTAGGTATATCGCATCCTCGGTTCATGCGGTCTCCACTTACATCCTCTGATGATGAATCCCACATAATTGTAAGCGAATCTTACATCCACCGGTTGGGTGTAGTAGACTATTTTGCACCATATGTAGAATATGTGTATTTTTCCGGAATATATTGATGTCTTCTTCATTTCTTATTTCCAAAAAGAGCTTCATGTCGTCGGCATAAATAAGCAATTTAAGTTTTTTGAGAATGAAAGAAATGTCGTTTACGTATAGAATAAAAAGAAGAGGTCCCAAATAACAGCCTTGGGGGACGCCTGAAGTGACTTGAATTGGACTCGATTTCTTTCCGTTGAATTTAATTATTTGTTGGCGGTTAGTTAAATATGATTCAAGCCATTTTAGGAGCCCTGACTCAATTCCAATTTTTTGCAATTTAAAAAGTAGCATTGGTATGTCTATGCGGTCAAATGCCTTGCTAAAGTCTGTATAGAGAGCTTCTTCGTGGTTTCCATTATCCATTGCATTCAATGAATAGTCTATAAATTCAAGTAAATTTGTTGAGGTCGAGCGACCCTTGAAAAAGCCGTGTTGCATGTCAGTAATTCTATTTTTGATTTGGAGAAATAATTTTTCGTTGACAATTGCCTCGAAAAGTTTAGGAATGCAAGAGATAATGGCTATACCACGATAATTACGTACGTCAGATTTTCGGCCAGATTTAAAGATAGGCACTAGGAATGAGCTTTTCCAAGTTCTATGAGGGTATCTTGAACATATCTGACCATATAAGATGTGGCCGATGGGACCTGGGTACTCAGTAGGATCGGCAGCTGGCATATTGAAGAAGTACAGAAGATCTACATTTGACATATTGAGTTATAGAATCAAAATAACACTTCATAGAACATCGACCAAAGGAGGCATCGACTTGTGGAAATATCGATTTATGGAGAGTACTACACATGGAAAAATGAAGGGACCACCGAATCCATCAAGTTATAGAAAATATAGAGTTATAGAATTTCGAGTTGTGGGGAGTTGACTATATAATTAAATAGCGATAATTTTCATCTATCTTCATAATCATATGTTATTTATTCTACCTAAACTTCTGTGCATCTCCAAATGTTTTGATTCAGTTACATATCAACCTTGCAGTTCAATAATCATAATCATGTTTTCTTTTCTTGATTTCAGCTCTCGTTGGGTCACTAACAATTGGCACAACCTTCCTGCTTTCGCCAGTATCCGGCATCCTGACCGACAAGATCGGGCTCCGGACAACCACCCTGATCGGCGGTGTTCTGACCTGCGGAGGCATGTTCTTGTCGTCGTTCTTCACCCACAACGTTTCCGCTCTGTACTTCACCTATGGAATAATGTTCGGACTGGGTGCTGCGCTGGCGTACACACCTTCTCTGGCCATCCTGGGACACTACTTTAAGAAATACCTCGGACTGGTGAACGGGATTGTGACGGCCGGGTCGAGCGTGTTCACTGCCATTATGCCGGTTCTGTTGAACAAACTAGTAGAGCAAAAGGGGCTGGCGACGTCCTTCCGTATTCTATCTGTGATATCTAGCTTTGTGATATTTTGCGCATTGCTCTACAAACCATTGCATCCACCTCCACCGCCACCACGAGTAAAACCAGGCCGATCGCGCTTCAACACATTTTTGCGATCGTTCATCAATTTTGACAATTGGAAGAAGAAGAAGTACATTATCTGGGCCTTTTCAATTCCGATTGCTCTATTTGGATACTTTGTACCTTATGTTCACATGGGAAAATTCGTAAGGGATTCGTTCCCAGGAGAGGGAGAAAATCTTCCCGTCATATGTATTGGCATCACATCTGGATTGGGTCGTCTAATCTTCGGATTTATTGCGGATTTTCCACGAGTGAACCGAGTACTTCTTCAACAGATGTCATTCGTTCTGATAGGAGCGATGACAATGTGTCTTCCTGCAACCGGTTCCTTCACGCTTCTGCTGGTTATAGCTTTAGCTATGGGTCTATTCGATGGATGCTTCATATCTCTACTGGGACCGATAGCATATGACATTTGTGGACCGCGTGGTGCCACGCAAGCTATCGGATTTCTATTGGGCCTATGCTCAGTACCCTTGACCATTGGACCACCGGTAGCTGGAATGCTGTACGATCACACTGGATCATACAAACTACCTCTTATCCTTGCTGGTATTCCACCACTCTTCGGTGCTTCCACGATGTTTCTTATCAGATGTGTTAAAGATGATGATCCTATCAGCTCAGAAGCGGTACTGAAGGACTCTACGCACCAGCCACTGGCTCAGACTGCTTGGGACTGCGGTAAGTAGATATTCAAATTTAGAACTTGGTTCGGTGAATAATGATGCGTCGTTTACAGAAAATCCGACGGATGGTAAAATGAACGGCCACATACGAGAGGAACGCCGGGCAACGCTCGCCAGCTCAGGTATTGATTTAAAATCTCCCCTGCTTTCTAACGTAGCTGTTTCCTCGTTGGTGCTTGAATCATACATTTCCGGCTATCCAGATATTCATCGGCAACGCAAATACAGCTATAGCTATCTGTAGATGTAGTTAGTACCCACTAACGAAACAACGCTTATTCTATGTTTTGCTCACATCGTTCTAATCATTCATCGTTCATTTGTACATATGCCAAGCGTAAATATTCCTATATGTTCCATTAGGAATCTTTCACAACTCATACGATCTATTTAGCTTAATCAGCACGCTTCTTAAATGTGATTACCTAGTTACTAGCACTAGCCGTGAAAAGTTATACCATTATCAATCGTTGTGCTTTTGTATTATGGCAGTTTTTGCTCAATAAACGACTGTCGAAATAAAATGAAGACATTCTTCTACGTTGACGAATCAAACTTCAGTTATCAGTAATTGGTTGTTCACTGACTGTTACGACCTTACTCAAAAGTGATGCAACAATGCTCATATTTATTATATAGTCAAATAATTTGATTAACGGCAGGGTTGATAAACTGCTGTTTGCGGTAATATTAGTGATTATTCCATTAATCTTCTCCGAAAAAAAAATGTGAAGAGGGTGGCTTTTATTGCCACAGCATTAATCATTTTCATAAATCCAAAAGGAATATTTTCAATGTTTGATGTAAGAGGCAATTTACTTTGGAGCATTTTCTAAAAAGTCAATCACATTTTTATCGATACATTATTGAAGATTGCAAAAAACATTTTATATTATGTAAAAAGGTAGAAGGAATTATGTGTCGATTATATAAAACTGTTAAAAATGATCGGTATTCGCTTACACTAGCCAAAAATCGGAAACAGCATATCAGGAAGACTAGCGATTCTTCCGTTATAAACGACAACTGTGAGATAGGCACAATCGCGTCATCTACCGCCAAATTTGTTAGCAAAGATTATAAATTTAGAAGAAAGCTTTGTGTATTTGCTTATTATTCTTCTCTTTCATCTTTGCTCAAGGGCTGCGGTGCTGTCCCAATTTACCAACAATACCAACAAGCGCCAATTCACCTTTCTGCAATATAAGGCAGACACGTGGCTGATATAGGGCTACCAAAGCTTTATTGCTAGTTCTGGTATTGTTGTCTTCGCAAAAATCCTCAAAAAAATTACATTTTCTGAATATCATGAATTTCCATGGAATAATCCTTCAATTTCTCCAAAGTTTTTTTTTCGAACTTCCACTAGGATAATCTGAGTTTTTATATTCGTTCTACATTTTTCTTCGAATACTTATTAATTCTCATAGCAATTCGGTTAAAGTTTCTTTTAAAAAACATCTATTGGAAAATTGTTCAGAATAACAGATTTCTATGCACTTCAAAATTACCGTGTAGTTCTTATCAAAATTCCCTTGTGAATCATCTCAGACTTCTTTTGGGACTCTGTTAAAATTCATCTTGGAATTATTCTCATAATTATCCTCAAAATACTCTTGGAAATCTCCTCAGCATTCCCTTAGGATACAACCCGAAATCCTTTCGAATTATCTACAGTACTTCCTTTGAATTATCTTCCAGGTTTCCTTGGAGCTCTCCTTAAAATCCTTATAAAACTCTTCCGGGAATCTTCTTGCAACTTTTCTTAGGACTCTTTTGGAATTGTCCTCAAAATATTTTTTTAAAGTTCTTTTCAGAATTTCCATGCAATTATATTCAGAATTCTCCTCAAAAATTCCTTTGGTACCCTCCTCATTTCGTTGAAACTCTCTTTTGAACTTCCTTGGAACTATCTTCAAGTTTTCTTTGGACCTATCCTCAGAATTTGATTCTCTCAGAATCCTGCTTGGAATTTCTTTGAAGCTCTCCTCTGGAGAATGGAATTATAGAATTCACTTTGAAATTTTACTCAGAGGTGCCTTGGGATTCTACCCAGAACTAAGCTGGAATTTACCTTTGAGTTCAAGTCAGAACTTCCGTAAAATTTTCTCTAATGTTCTGAATCAAAATAAAATAAAAGTTACAATACATCATCATAAAAATAATCTGTTGCAATCATGTCTTCCTTGGATCAAGTTTTATCACCTTTCATGATATTTGATATTTGATTTTATATTTGTCATGCTTACTAGCGTACTTGCTATGGTATAGAATGTACACACCAAAAATTGTTCAAACCCGTCGAGCTCCACTAGGTTGGTGTAAATTATATATTTTGCTCCACATAACGCAATTGATTTCAAATCAGTTCATGATTGTCTATTTAAAATTTAATCCTAAAATATTAAAATTTAAAGACTGAAAAATAGCAAGGATATTTCTTGATATCATGATGTGTTTATTTTGTGTTCTTTCAAGTGCTCAATTTAGTGGCGCCGGTGGTGTAGTGGTAAGCGTGATTATATCTCACCCAGCAGGCCTGGGTTCAAACCCAGTCGGCGCCGCTGGGATGTTCTGAAGCATAACATCTCTGATCACGCCTTCCTTCGGAGAGTAAAGCCGTTGGTCCCAGCTCATGAGTTGATGGTTCGATAGGTAGGGTCCAGGTGCGGGAGCTGCCTCCCTGGCGTCGGTAGCATTGGTGCTCAGCACGGAAAACAAGATCGACGGAAAACAAATCAAGGAAAAAAAAAGTGCTCAATTTTATATCGTTGTACTTTCAACGGACTATAACGTACAAACAAGTTTTTCCTGAATGAATGTTTTCGTATAAAACCTTTACGAGATGGCAGCAGTTGTGGAAAACAAACTTTGTTCGAAAAATTAGCTACACACAAGCTACAAAACTATTTAGGAAACCGACCACATTATGCAGAATCTGTTCATGGGGTGAATTATTACTAATTTTGTATACTTTTTTTTTTTTTTTGTAATTACTTTATTTGTACAGGCTCAATCGAATAAACTTTACAGAGCCGAGTTATCCTTTGCGTTATACATTGTTACTGTCTTATATTTAAAGTTAAAGGAACTGGACCGAGTACTCGCGGTCGTCTCGAGGTTAGTGGAGATTTACAATTTTTTGGATGGGAAAAGGGAAGAAGGAGGTTTTAAATGTGGTTTACGATATAACTATTTAATTAATCCTAAAGCATGAAATTATTTCTATTCATCTTGAAAACAAACATTGAAAAAAAAAACCCCCAGACGTACAAAACATAAACTAAACACAAGGTTAATCAAACTTACAATCTAAGGTTAATATCCTTAAAGTAAACATATATGAGTTTCATAAACTCCAGATCGCGTCTAGCCAAAATATCCCGAACTGGAACATTAGGTTGTCTACCTCGAGCCCGAAGGGAATCATAAAAATGTGATCTGACTCCACGATACTCCGCACAAGACCAAAGGATGTGATCAGCGTCCTGGTAACCTTGTCCACATTCACAGAGATTGCTGTCTCCCAACCCCACACGGAACAAGTGAGCGTTTAGACAATAGTGATTGGACATGAGACGAGACATCACGCGTATGAAGTCTCGACTCAAGTCCAACCCTTTGAACCATGCAAACTTCGACACCTTAGGGATAATTGAATGTAGCCATCGTCCCAAGCTCCCTTCACTCCATTGATGTTGCCAGCTAACGAGCGACTGCTGACGATAAATAGAGAAAAATTCACTATAGGCGATCTGTCGATCATAAATGTCGCCTTCCATAGCGCCCACCTTCGCAAGTGAATCCGCCTTCTCATTGCCCAAAATTGAGCAATGCGAAGGGACCCACGCGAAGGTACTTTTTTTTTTTTGTAAATCTTGAATAGAATCTTTGATTTCCCGGTTGCGAGTAGATATTTTTTAGGTGCGATGGTAGATGATGAGTAAAATAGGATAACTAATCAAATTTCCAAGTGACTGTATCATAAACAGTAACCTTGTTGTAAGCCAAACCAAACAAAAGAAGATAATCTTGTACTGCCGTTTGTTCGCATGTCGGTCCCATTGATGTTTTTTTTTTCAAAACTGAGTTTGTCAATGCAAATGGAAGCTAATTACCCATATTTTCATAATACTGGATGAACTCCTCAACTTTGTTATGAAGAAGTTTAGAAAGACAGTCACATTGGTTGTCCCATCACATAAGAAGCAATGGTACGAAGCAAACTTAAAACGCGAATTTCTTGGCTTTCCGATTTTCGCTATGGGACGAACATGCGAAGAACGGCAGTGTAGTGCTTAATTAATCAGAGGAGAACCGTTTAGTAACACACATCTTTATTCGGACCAGTTGCATCATCTTTGTTTCCACTGTCGATCAACCCTTGTTATGAAAACTGGCACGGTTACTTATTTATATATTTAAAAAAAGTAGAAGAAATGTTCACGAGTGCCTAACTAATCTGATATGATGAACTCTATTCAATTTATACACTGCTAAGAGCAGGCGTTATATTGACTGTCATTCTGCGATTGTTGGGTGCCATTTCTTCACAAGCGTATCCTGATTGACGTAACTGGCACTCACGCTCCACGGAAGCATGAGATTCGGACGACCGTGCATCTTTGAAATCATTGTTTACTAACAAACTACTATTGCCATAAACTTAAACAGTAATTTAGTAGAGTGGATTTACTTGACGTGTCTGTACATAAGCTTCACCATGTTTACAGTAGCTTGTTGCTTTAATAACGCACTTCTCAGCGTATAGTTCAATGCGAATCAAAACAAAGATCATAACTAACATTATATTGACAATTTTTTCAGAATCACTTACCGCGGGAAATAATTGAATGTAGAAGTTTCTTTTCTTGAATGGATAATACGCAAACAAATTATATACGATACAGGAACCAAACAAAGACGTATGTATCAGCGTGGATTTAGTGCTTAGATAAATTGTGTGGTTAAAAAACTAGTGTTGATATGAAAGCCTAGACTAGATTAGATGTACTGAAAAAAAAAAAACAAAACAGGAAAAAGAAAGTCTATTTTGTTGTAGACTATAAATTTGTATTCTCTGCAGAAGCGTTTTCTTATGAATGAAAGTCCACGGGGCGATCATTAAGAGGACTGCGATTTAATTTGATTAGTTAGAATTGACTCAGTAATGCATTTCAATTTTTTTCTTGCCATTAGGAACAACTTACACAGTAAATGTTCCCAATAGAAGGTTGTAAAATATTTATGTTTTAGTAAATAGGCTACTATCAATTGAATCTTGTAAATACTGCATTGAAAACATTATGGTATAAATTGAATTCATACATAAAACATATATCAAAAGAGTCAACGCAATGAATAAATAAAATGTATTTGAAAGAAAGCCCGAATAATAGTAGAGAAACCTTCCTCAGGTTATGCTTAGCTTGAACCCTATTGTCCAAGGTTACAAGTAGCAATTTCGAATAAAAAATGTTTTTCGGAATTATGAAATCATTAAATGTTATGAATGATCATATTTTGTATTTGTAAAAATACAAGAAGAGGTTGCAAAGTATGTGTTTGACATAGTGCGCTGTTTTCGTATAAAGATGCGCTATACAGCGCACTATGTCCGACGTTATGTATAACGTACAGAACGAGAGTAAAATCGAATGTCGCATGTGGGGTTTTCCGGTGTTCAATGTGACCGACAATACAATCTATTTACCTTGTTGGCAACGTATGTTTTCGAGAGACATAAGCTTGCTTGCTTAACCGATTAAGTACAGTTTTACGCTTGTTGTATGAATTTAGCTATAGGAGAAGACGGGGTAAGACCATAGAGGTAACTCTAAGACCACTTTGTCCCGAAGAAAATCATTATTATTTTTGGCTCTCTCAGTAGCAGAACAACGGTCCCAAGCAGTCCCAAGCTATTTCACTCACCCCTGCATGTTCTGCATGAATCCACACACCCCTGATGTTATCTGTCAAACTTTCATAGCTAATCAAAACAAACATAGTGTAGTAATAGAATTTCAACTAGAATGGGGTACGCCATAGAAGTACTTGGGACCAATAGGCTACTCAAGCAGTGAATCAATTTAAAATCGTTAGTTTCCACCCCCTGGTAAGACCGCCACTAGACTGATGCAAAATTTGACTTTTTCGCTCCACAGGGGAGTGCTCAATCAAGTTTTTCTCGATGTCTCGACTAAATGTACAACTCTAGAGAGCTTTGCAAGAGCTGATTGCTTCAGGGGAGGTATATCTTTGTGTTAACAAAATCTCTAGGTTCTCCAAATCATCCTGGAATTCAGATCATGATATTCTATAGACTCAATTGTACGATGTTCTGACTAACTTTTGGCATCCGTAGAGCCTCGTTCAGCCACCTTATATCATGTAGGATATATAGTTGAAATGACAAAATATCTCGAGTCCTTCAAATAATCCTGACCCTGAAGTTCTACAGGCTCTGTTGGCTCGACTGCCAACGTGATGTTTGACTTGAAGCTGAAACGGCTGCTCGTAGGGCCTTGCCCACAGATGACGACAAAATCCAGCTGCACCAGCTGCGAGCCGACATCGCTTACTCGGAATCGGTAGTTCTGAAAAGAACACCGCGAAAATAAAACTCTTTTTAGAGCAGCGACGGCAACAAGCAGCGGTGGAAACAGCAACTCTCCATTTCGAAAGTAAAGGGAACAGGAACTCCACTGAGCAGGACCACCGATAAAACTGGAACGGCAACAGGGACAGACATCGATATCGAATCGACGGGAAAATTGGAATTTTCTTTCATAGAAGGATAACTTCAGCTTCTTCACTATAGCTATATTGCTTGGCAATTCGGAAACGACTGACAATGTGAATGACTTTTTTTTTACTTTAAATGATCTATATTTCTTGAATTTGTGTGGTTTACATGTATAACTTATCAAGTGACACAGACGCTTCTTTTCAACTTTAGTTCCTTCGAAATTTCAATTATTATTAATTACAGTTCCTAGTCCTATCAGGCCTGTTTTAAGAATGACCACCTTGGTGGGATTGGTTTGTTTTAAATTTGAAAACGGAGACTACTTATAACTACTATTTACAACTATAACTAACCTACAACTACTATATACACCTATACTACTATATACAAATTGCTTATCAAAGCATGTTCTGATAAATTACATTTTTGTGCAAATTTAGTCTTAATTTCGTTAATTCTGGAATCTATTTTGGCAATGCCTGCCTCTTCATGTAAATTTGTTATTCTAATGTCGAAAGGACGATCAAGAACCATCCTCAGCACTCTATTCTGAGCGACCTGAATTTTGTTCCTGTGAGTCTGTGCACATGATTCCCACGCCGGAGCTGCGTAGAGGATCGCAGGTGCTATAATTTGTTTGTAGACAGCCAGTTTGTTCACCTTTGAGAGGCGGGATCTGCGGCAAATCAGCGGATACAGACATCTAACCAAGGCAGAACACTTGATTACAGTTTTCTCTACACGCGAACGGAAGAGGAGCTTTTCATCGAACAACATCCCGAGATAGGTAACTTCGGAAGACCACTCAACCCTTGTGCCATCCATGATTACAGTACAAGATGGAGCCGGTTTTAGTTTGGGCGATTGCCGATGGAGGACCATGATTGTTTGAGTTTTGGAGGCATTGATTTTAATTTTCCACGTGGTGGCATAATCAGCAAAGGCGTTAAGGCAACGTTGAAGTTTGTTCGTTATTTCGCGAGGCATCCTTCCTTTGACGGCTATTGCGGTATCATCTGCGAACAGGAAGAACACGCAACCGTCGCCGAGGGGAGGAATGTCGGAAGTGTAAATGCTGTAAAGCAAGGGTCCCAGCAGACTGCCTTGCGGGACTCCTGCTGGGATGGAAAACGTGTCGGAAAGACAACCATTCAACGATACCTTAAACGACCTTTGCTGGAGGTAGCTACGGGTGATTTTAACCAGATGTAATGGAAAGTTGAAGTTACAAAGCTTGTACACAAATCCGTCATGCCAAACATTGTCAAACGCCTTTTCAACGTCTAACAAGGCCATGGCTGTGGACTTTGATACAGCTTTGTTACTTCGGATGTTATTCATCACCCGTACTAGCTGATGATTGGTGGAGTGCCCCTTTCTGAATCCAAACTGTTCCGGAAGGAGAATGTTGTTTTCCTCGACAAACTTGAGCAAACGATTGAGAATGAGTTTCTCGAACAATTTGCTCAGCGCTGAAAGGAGGCTGATTGGTCTGTAGCTTGAAGGCAATGTTGGATCCTTACCGGGTTGCGGATTGGTATGATTTTAGCTACTTTCCAGATGCTTGGAAAGTAGTGCAGTTCCAAACATCTGTTGAAGATAGCGGTTAGAAGAGACTGCACTTTCATGCTGAGTCTCTTCAAGATCAAGTTGAATATACCGTCAAATCCGGGAGCCTTCATGTTCTTGGTGCATTTCAGCGCTGAGCAAATCTGTTGTACTGTAATCATATCCGTCGGAGGCACGACACAAGGGGAGGCATCTAGGTTTTGAACGCATTGCGCAACCTGATCATCGAGCGGACTTTGGATAGTCGAGCCAAGCAAATGCAATGAAGCGACATGCTTGCCGATCGCATTTGCTTTCTCCTGTGGGGTGATTAAAAGCCGATCGTCATCATTTTCGACTCTGAGAGGTGGAACGGGTTTGGGATGAGTTTTCAGGACCTTGGCTACCTTCCAGAATGGTCTGGAGCGATCCAGATTCTGGACAACACGCCCGAAACTTTCATTTCGGAGTGAGTCCATTCTGGAAGCAATCTGTCTATTCAGATCGGCCATTTCACGTTTGTTGCCTATATTTCCAGTCCTCTGAAACTGGCGTCTACGAACATTTCTCAACCGAATCAGTAATTGGGTGTGGGAATCAATAGCAACAAACTTACCCCTCACAGGAACTTGTCGAACGTATGCCTCGTCAGCCATGGATATGGCCTGTTGTAGTCCTTCCAACGTCCGGTCGATGTCATCTACGGTGTTGAGCGGTGGATTTTCATTGATGTTGCTGTCCACCATTCGTCCGTACTGCACCCAGTTGACATGGTGGTAGTCTTTACGCAGGCAGCTTCTAGCAGGAACCACGTTGACACCAACTTCAGTCACCACCGGTTGGTGGTCGGAGCTGAGACCTTGTGCTCCTCCGGCTTGGATAGTCCGATGTTTGTCAGGAAAAAGTCCAGAGTGGAGGGATTTCCCGCCGGAGAGATGAAAGTGGGTTCGTCCAGAAATTGCACAGTGTACAGTCCATGTTGTGCGTGGTCGAACAATAGACATCCGTTCCGGTTCCTCTGGTAGTTCCGCCAAGCTTCAAGGCGGGCGTTCAGGTCGCCCCCAACGATGAATCGAGAGCTAGTACGGGTGATGGCGGTCGGGCCTTTTTTGAATTGGATTCCTAGTCCATTGCTTGCGGTACACTGGCATGGGCAGTAAACAACGATAAACCGGACGTTTCTAGTTGGTGATTCCACCCACCTCCACACTAACGGCCTCGATGATAGAAGTGCGGATGTGGGGCAGAGTGCAAAACTTGATTCCTTTTCTGACGATGATCGCTACACCACCACCCCTGGAGCTGGTGCGATCAAGCCGGATAATGTTGTGGTCAGGCAACCAGAAGCTGTCACCGGACTTTAGATGGGTCTCGGTTAGAAGGCCCACGTCGATGCTGTGCTTGCGGAGAAAGTCAGCAAGCTCAATCTTCTTTGCTCTTACAGAGCAAGCGTTCCAGGTAGCGATGGTTAGCGGTTTAGACACCATACTGGATGATGAACTTACCGAGCACTTGGATCTGTCCACTTACGTAGAGCACCGGTCATGTTGACGAAAATTTCCATCAGTTCATCTTCTGAGAACAGATCGGGATTATTTGGTTGAGCTGTTGGTTGTCTCCAGAACCCAGGGGGGGGATGGAGAGCTTTGTCCAGCAGAAGATCCAGACGTTTCTTGAGGAGGGGCGGATCGCACCCTTGGATTTGCTTGTCCATGAAGGGGCGGAAAGTCCTCCACCCTGAAAGCCGGGGTCTTATCCTTCCTTCATGCTGGTTGCTTGTTGGTGGATGCCGGATTTTGGATGCGCTTGAAATCCTCGCGTTTAGGGCACTCCTTGTTGGATCCTTGGTGAGCACCACCACAGTTGGCGCATTTTAACACCACGGATCCATCCGCAGGGCAGTCGGAAGTGGCGTGTTCTTGAGCGCAATTGCCGCAGCGTGGCTTAATGTTGCAGTTGCGGGTGCCGTGTCCAAAGTTCGGACACCGTTGACACTGAGTCACACCGCGATGGCCACCACGGTATGGCTCCCAGCGGACGAT